AATATGAAGTTTACTGAAGTCAAAAAGAATTTCATTAATGTCTTTTCATAACATGCCATTCAAACTGTGCTATTTTTTCTATTCCAAGGAAATCATACAACAGAAATTGTGCAGATTGTCGCCTATGGTGCGAGAATATACGAAAACTTGTCTAGTTGCTCCAGATAAACAAAAAACAAAAATGGTACCTTAATTTAAAATGAAATCAGACTTTAGACTTTATCTCCAGAAATGGTGTTTTAACAAAACCTTTTTATTTTAATGTTCTTTTAGATACTTTATTCTTCAGACTTTCGTAGTTGATAACAGTTTGTTACTTGTAGCAACACTGTATTATGTATAAAAAATATCAAGGTAACTTCTTCAAATTTATGATAAATAAAACTTAAGCACTGGTTTAAAAGATATGAAGTAAAGCCACAACTAGAAATTGAGGCCAGGTTTATTTTAGGTTTGATTTTTGAAAGAAAAAAAAAAGATTCTAAAAATATAGTGCTGTTGTTCTCCATTCTCTTTCCACACTCTTTTCAAAAGGTAGATACATAGGTCTGTCTTAAGAGCTACAGTGAGAATTGCCTTGATAAGATGCAAGATAAAAAAAATAAGAGTTGATGTTCTATTTCTGACTCAATTCCTTCTACACTGATTTTCTCTCATATTAGTATATGGAAAAAGAATAACAAAGAAAAAGATAGAAAAATATAGAGCACAAGGTCATTTAATTTTTATCTATTCTTTCCTTTTCTTTCCAGTGAGTTAAAGTCAAATCTATGGGTATCAAAATAGCAAACACCAAAAAATGTTAGATAGTCCTGGATATTAAGCTATTTGGGTTATCCTCCCTAGCTCTGCCTTTTGTCAGTTTACTATATAGATTTTGTAATACTGGCCCTATCAGAAGGAATTCCCTTCTTAGTTGTCTTCAAATGGAGACTCTCATCTCCATCATCAACCTAACTAGGGGCCCTCCCTTGGATCTCTCTCCTCACTCCTGACCCCCCATATCCACCTGTTTCCTAGATGTTTTTTATTATTATTATTACTAGAGGCCCGGTACATGAAATTCGTGCACTGGAGCGGGGTTGTCCCTCAGCCCAGCCTGCACCCTCTCCAATCTGGGATCCCTCTCACAATCCGGGACTGCTGGCTCCCAACCTCTCACCCACCTGCCTGCCTGATTGCCCCTAACCACTCCCCTGCCAGCCTGATCAATGCCTAACTGCTCCCCTACAGGCCTGGTCACCCCCAACTGCCCTCCCTGCTGACCTGGTTGCCCCCAACTGCCCTCCCCTGCAGGCCTGGTTGCCCCCAACTGCCCTCCCCTGCAGGCCTGGTTCCCCCCAACTGCCCTCCCCTGCAGGCCTGGTCACCCCCAACTGCCCTCCCCTGCCATCTTGTGGTGACTATCTTGTGTCCACATGGGGGCAGCCATCTTGTATGAAGGTGTGATGATCAATTCGCATATTACCTCTTTATTATATAGGACTGATCTCAGAGAGGAAGAGATAGAAACACCAATGATGAGAATCATTGGTCGGCTGACTCCTGCACACCCCCTTACTGGGGATCGAGCCCGTAACCTGGGCATGTGCCCTTGGCCGTAATCGAACCTGGAACCCCTCAGTCCACAGGCCGACGCTCTATCCACTGAGCCAAACCAGCTAGGGCTTCCTAGATGTTTTTATGAACCCTCTGAGTGGTTCACTGTTGGACAATTTCATATGGCTTCCTCCACTTCTGTTCATATCATTTCCTCTGAGATGGCCTTCCTCTTTTCAGCAAGGCCTGCTCATCCTTCCTGCAGGTCTCCACCATGAGCTCTTGGCAACTCATCCTGTACACAGGGACTGCTTCCTCAGCCCTCAACTGTCACCGTGTGGGTCTTTTGGTGCAGTAGCCTGTTCTGCCTTATGAAGACTCTGTATTATCCTTATTTTCTTTTTCCTTAGAACTTTAAAATTATCATTGATCCATGCATGGCCCTCTTTAAAAAAAAAAAAAAGCATTAATGTCTTTATTTTTATTGATTTCAGAGAAGAAGGAAGAGAGAGATAGAAACATCAATGATGAGCATCATTGATCAGCTTCCTTCTGCATGCCCCCCACCAAGGACCGAGCCCACAACCTGGGCATGTGCCCTGACTGGGAATCTAACCATGATCTCCTGGTTCATCGGTCAATGCTGAATCACCAAGCTACACTGGCTGGACTGACCCTCTTTTTAAAAAATATGATTACCTATGAACTTACCACCACACCTGAGAACTACATCATTACCAATAACTTCCACGCACCTGTGTTCTTCTCCATCATATCCTTTTGGTTTCCCCCAAAAGATAACTGTTACCCTAAGTTTAAAGTTCATCATTCTCTTCCTTTAAAAAGAAGTATATTTCAACACACATATAAATGCTTGATTGTATTGGATGATTTGTGTTTGCTTGTTTCCCTGGCTCATGTAAATTAATACAACTGTGGGAAATACTAGTAATTTGTTAATATTTAGTAAGTTAAATATTCACACACCCTACAAATCAAAAATTCTATACCTAGTTATATGGCCAAGAAAAACACTTGCACAAGTGCCCCAGAAACATGAATGATCCGAGCAGCACTCTGCAATATTTTTTAATGCAAAAAAAAAGGCAATTGGCAGAACAGGGAAATATTTGTTACAGACACATAATGTATTAATCTTAATGACACAATGTTGGGGGGGGGGGTGTCATAGACGTCAACAGAGAGTATAAGACCTTTTTCCCGAGATTAAAAACAGACTAAAAAAAGGGGGGGGGGGATTATTATTACTTAAACATTGCAGTAAAAGAAAAAAATCCTTATTTTGTGAATTCATGCATTGTCCTCCCAAACGAGATGACAAACTCTTGAGGGCAGGGACTTTTTTATTCTTATTTGTATCTCCCACATGCCTAGACCGGTGTCTTGAACAGATGGTGCTCAATAAGTAATTATCCACTTAATGATTACTGAATGATTTAAAATTTAAATCTTTTCCCTCATCCGTGTCATGAATAAAGTTGCATAAAACTTTTATTTACTTATACATTAACCTAGATCTATTTCTGCAATGGTAGACCAGATATCCAACCACAAACACTTCATCCTGGAAGTACTTTACCTTTCTTCTTCAAGTAAAGCTAACATACAGTCAAAGCAATCTAGGGACAAGAAAACATATCCTGTAAAAGTCCAACCAAATCACATAACCAAGAGACAACTGATAACCCGTCATAATCTGAAACTGAGATATCCCAAAAGGAATACATCCACTGAACGTATAATTGAGTTATCTCATCAAAACTGAAAACATGATCAAAAACAGGGTTTTTAGACTTTCTAAAAGCTAAGATTTAATTTCAAAATATTTTGTTCCTACTTTGAGATAAAAAAATATTTTTAGGGGAAAACATGAGATTTGGGTTAAAAGAATAATATGAATGATATTCCACCAATCAAGGCCTTCCTTATAACCCAATGAGAGCTGTGCATATTCTCTGTAGGCGATTAGAGCGGAATTACACTGCAGCTTCCCTTCGACCTTGGGAACTCTGCTCACTGTGAGTTACTGCGAGGTCTTCTGTTTCATTTATTAATAGTCTTTGTATCTGCAATGCTGTAGCATTCGAAAGGAATATCAACACTGTGAGCTTGCAGTACCTAAAACTGTAGAAATGCTTCCAAATCAAAGTGGGGTGTGGGTGGATTATAGCCAAGAGGAAAACAAAGTTAAGGATATTACGATGGGATATTTTCTCATTTTACTTTTGAAGAAATAACATATTTAATTAGCTGTGTAATACATTACCATCCATTTGCATGCAGTTTTTAAATTTAAGAAAAGACATTCAAGAGAAATTATTTTATTTGGGAAAATATCACAACTGAATACGACATACAATTTGCTAAAACTAGTCCAGCAATTGAAAAATGGAAATTCCAATAGAGAAAAAGCCTATAGGACCTTTGGATCCTAGGGGTGGAGGGAAGAAATAATCTAGCACTCCTGAGAGTTCACTTAGTTTCATGTCAATTGCTTCATATCCATTATGTAATGCTTTCCCCAGCTTTAGGTCTGTTGAAGCTACCGTTCAGGTATATCACAGACTGCCACCAAATCAGTATAGGTCATGCAGATGTGTCTCATATCCATTCAGTAGAGGCTTTTTTCAAAATCTGCTGCTGTCATTACTTCTTCCCGGCTTCCTCCCCAGGTCTCCCATCCCCTCCTCCCCCAAATGCCCGGGCGACGCGAGCTGCGGGCAGTAGCCGGCTGGGTGCAGGGGAAGCACGTCTTGACTGCAATGCTAAAGCTGTCCCGGTCTGAACCAGGGGGGGCAGATTCGGCCCTGGCCGGGGTGTGGACGAAGGCTGCAGGGAAGGCTGCAGGGGCGCCAGCAGCCGAGTGGGCAGGGGTGCCCCGCGAGGGCAGTCCGCAGTGCACGCGCACAATCAAACCAAATGCACAACTTCCCCGGCCGCTCCTCCCGACTCCCCGGATTCCGTGGAAGGTGCGGCGTAGGCGTCAGCTGGAACGGGCGCGGGCGCGGGCGCTCTCACCCGCGCGGGTTCCGTTCTCTGCTGACAATTACATCAGTCCCTCCGCCGGCCCGAGCTTCATTCCCCAGCAGCCTGGGGGAGCCCGCGCGGGGGCTGCGGGCACGAGAGCCAGGCGGCCGGAATTCCCCGACACGAGGAGGACGGGAGGGGAGGACGGCGCGTGGGGACCATGACCCAGACGCCCCCTCCCACCTCGGCCGCCAGGCTGGACTAGCACCGCCAACCCCGACTCCCGGTCGCAGAGGTTATGCGGTCAGGAGAGACCCCCAAGGACTATGATGCTTCAGGGGCCCAAAGCGAAGCTGCCCATCCGCGCGCCCCTAAGGGTCCTCGGCCCTCCGGACGCGCACAATGCCCCCGGGCACCGGTACGGGCACCGTCATATCCGCTCCAGGGGTACCCGGTGCAGCTAGGACACCTACCTGGAAGGCAAGGGGCCGCGCCGCAGATTCTGCGGCGGCAGCGGCGGGAGGCGGGAGGCGGGAGGCGGCCCCGGCGGGCAGACAGGCGCGCGGCGGGCTGGGGAGCGGAGCCGCGGTCTCCAGCTCCGACAGCGGTGACGGCGGAGGAGCTGCGCCTCCAGTGGTCCGCCGCGCCGCAGCCCCTCCTCTCCCACGGGCGGGGCGCACTGGCGGGGCGGCGCTCTGGGCTCCCCGCCCCTGGCTGGCCATCCTGGCGGGAGTGGATCCGCCGGCGGCCGGCACTCCGGCTGCGCTCCCGCCCCGCTGGGCACCCCTCCCTGCGCACCCCCGGAGAGCCGCGGGCCCGGCGCTCCAAACCTCCGACGCGCTGGGTTGCTCTTCCTGGGCTCATCCCCGGCCCGGTACCCGTGGGAACCTCTGGTTCCAGAGATCACCGCCGTGGAGACCCTGACCGGGCATCCCGGGGCCTAAGCGCCGTGGAAGCGTCCCCGCCCTCCCAGGCCAGCGCTGGTGGGCCGGCCCGGGTTCGCAAGGGGTGGCTCGGATGGCCCGAGCACTCGCGGCTGGAGCGGGGTCGCTGTGAGCACCGAAAGAGAGCAGATTCAGAAAGGAACAGCAGCCTGGCGGCCGACCCCCTGTCTCAAACTGGTCTGTAAACCTACAAGACTGTGTGATTGCTCCCCGCCATCCCTGACACTCTGAAGCAAAAACTTCTCAGGCTGAGTGAGATACACTTGAGCTCCTTGAAAGGATCGTTCTCACTTGACAAACCTTCCCACCCCCTTTAACTCTCCCACCCTTAAACCGTTCCCAGCCTATGCCGGAGGGCAGATTACTCGGAAGGCAAAGTTTCTGGGAAAGAATGGGGTAATTAATGATGAAATCTCAGAAGAATCTCAAGGCTTTTCTGCCATCGCCATCTTCAGGGGGATAAAAATCCAGAGAACACTGATTGTAACAGGAATTGTTACTGAAACTGCGCTGGGAGTGCTTCGTGAGCTGTCTAGGGGTCCGACTGGATGAGATAAGGTGGGGGGAGGCTTCAGAAATTGAAGATAATGCTACCCACTGAGGCAGCTGTGATGGCATTTCACTGTTTTCTGTGCTGATAAAATCCTGATTTGCTATGAAACATAGTCAATTAATTGTATGCACTTTTTCTCACATACAATCTCTTTTGAATCTCCAATCCCACCTTTTGAATTAGCTTCTCCCACTTTAACTAGCAATGTTGTCATATTGTCTTGTCATAAAATAATAGATGCTGGGGCCTGTGACCCAACACAGTTTCACCTTAACTCCCTCCCAGTGAAGACAGTGTTCTCAAGCTAACCCCCTCCCCCACCTCCGCTGACCTTCATTTGATCATCCCCACCTTTTTATTCCTTCCATCTGGGTTCCATGGATAGAAACTACTGAAACTGCTCTCTCTCTAAAAAGAAAAGCCAAAACCCATATAGAAGAAAATACAAAAGTGTGAAAAGAGATGAAAGCATACAGAGTCTTTAACCTAAAGAACTTTAGAAATTTTCACATTTTTTTCACTGACCCTCTCATGGCAATCAACCATAAACTATTGAGGAAGGGAGAGTAACCATCAAGACCTAAATCTCGCCGAAACCGGTTTGGCTCAGTGGATAGAGCGTCCGCCTGTGGACTGAAGGGTCCTCGGTTTGATTTTGGTCAAGGGCACATGCTTGGGGTTGCAGACTCTATCCCCAGTAGCGGGTGTGCAGGAAGCACCCGATCAATGATTCTCCTATCATTGATGTTTCTATCTCTCTCCCTCTCTGAGATAAATAAAAACACATTTTTTTTCCTTTTAAAATGCTTTGTCTTTATTTTTTTCCTTATAGTATTCAATAGATCTATTTCTTTTTTTTTTATTTTTTATTGCTTAAAGTATTACAAAGGGTATTACATATGTGATAAATAAAAACACATTTTTTATAAGTACCGCGCGCTAACTGATTGTGCCACGGGAGCTCCAAAAACACATTTTTTAAAAAGACCTAAATCTCATATGTTATCACAAGAATGCCTCCACACGTTTACTCTATTTCATATTAGATGTGTGTTTTATTATTTTTAAAAATAGGTTTAATTATCAAGGGAAAAAGTCTACTACCTGACTCATTGGTTAACAATCCAATAAGATGTGATGGCATTTGGGGGAATGGATTAAAGAGAGCTGACACTGCGTATCAAGGCAGCTTCTGCACTCTGTCCATCACAATCTTTTGAAAACCCAGACTGGCATGGATACATAAATACGAATAACAAGCTTTTCACTGCTTTTTGAGCTATGGCAGTGTTATTGCTCAGAAGTTGCCAGAGAGCAATGTTTTCATTAAGTATATATTCTTGCTGAGAGTTTGGGTCACAAGTCATACTTTGACTTAAAGGATCTCTGCTCCCCAATCCATTCCTTTTATTTGTCTCAGAGAAATACTTGTCCATGGACTTTTTCAGTGAAGGAAGATAATGATATTCTTAAAATACTATTAATGCTATAATTTCATAACAAGCAAATGAACTGAGCCTCACACAAATCATAGTCCCCACCATCAATGCTTTTTGTACAACTCTCACACTTCCTTTTTTGTTTGTTTGTTTTTTTTATTAGAGTGGAAGGGAGGGGGAGAGACAGAGAGAGGGAAACATCAATGTGAGAGAGATACATCCATTGGTTGCCTCCCGCATGAGCCCTGACCAAAGCCAGATATCAAGCTTGCAGCCAAGGTACATGCCCTTGACCAGAATTGAACCTGGGACCCTTCAGTCCGTGGGCTGACGCTCTATCCACTGAGCCAAACCAGCTAAGGCTCACACTTCTTTTTATTTGCAGTTTTTCTATGGGTACAATTTTAGCTGAGGTTTCTCAGGAAGGCTGAAATGCTAGTGCTTCATCAAAAGATGCCATGGTACTTGTCTCTCTTTGACTGGCTTATTTCATTTAGCATAATGCTCTCCTAGTTCATCCATGCAGTCACAAAAGTTAAGATTTCCTATCTTACCAAAACCAGTTTGGCTCAGTGGATAGAGCGTCGGCCTGCGGACTGAAAGGTCCCAGGTTCGATTCCGGTCAAGGGCATGTACCTGGGTTGCTGGCACATCCCCAGTAGGAGATGTGCAGGAGGCGGCTGATCGATGTTTCTAACTCTCTATCTCTCTCCCTTCCTCTCTGTAAAAAATCAATAAAATATACTTTAAAAAAAAAAAGATTTCCTATCTTTTTACAGCCGAGTAATATTCCATTGTGTAAATGTGCCATACCATATGATTTCATTTATATGTGGAATCTAATGAACAAAACTAACAAACAAAATAAAAACAGACTCATAGATATAAGAACAGACTGACAGCTGTCGGAGGAGAGGGGAGTTGGGTGAAAAAGGTGAAGAGATTAAGCAAACAAAAAGACGCAGACAGTAGCACAGTATAAATCAGAGGGAAAGGGGATGGGAGGAGGTAGAAGAGGGAAGAGGGGGGATAAATGGTGATGGAAGGAGACTTGACATGGAGTGGTGAACACACAATATAATATACAGATGATGTGTTACAGAATTGTACACTCAAAACCAGGTCGAGTGATCTGATCCCTTTGGCAACTAGAGAGACAAACCCCATGCTCTGCAGCCATTGTATGGTAATTGTGCTGGTTTGTTCTATAGGAAACTTGGTTATGCTGAAAACTGTTTCCCAGAATCCCCTTCCCTATAGACTTATAGGTCTATATTTGTTCAGATAGACAAAACTGAAATTACTGAGATCTGAGTTTCATTTTAACAAAAGTATAGCCATTAAACTCTAAAAGTCATCATGGGTTAGATGTGGCAAGAGAAAAATGTCCAGACCCAGGAGGGCTCTTATTTCTTCTGTTCTCTCTGCTGAATAACTGCAACCACATTTGGGCTAACAGACTTCACAGCCTCACAGGGGTGGTAGTCATAAAGAGTCCTCAAACTTCCGTAGACTTTGACACCAGGCCTTCTCCACCAGTTGGATTCTCCACCAACTGGATGGGCTTAGCTTCCAGATTTCCCCACCAGCTTGGACTCCTTTGTGTCAGGGCTGGTCTCTGATCCTTCAACAACCTCTTTTCAGATTCTTACTTCCCACACATGTAGAGGTCTAATTTCTGTAATAAATTCCTTTTTCAACATACCCATCGTGGTTCTGCTTCCCTGATTGAGTTTTCTGCCAGGGCTTAAGCTTGTGGCTGATCTGTTCTGGAGGCCTGTGCTGGTTCAGTCACCTGGGAACAGTTAAGGCAGGGCAAGTAGCTCAGAGACCTGGAGAGGCCGAGAGCATCTGAGGAAGTTCTCTAGCTGTGTCATGAACATGCAACACCAATATCCATGCTTTGCTTTGTACTTGTTCATTGGGAGTGTTCAGTCTTGAAACTAATTTACTAGTATTATTACTAAACTAACCTACTTTGCTCAATCACTCCCACATCATCACAATGGAGTATTTTATCTTGTTAAGACATCTTTTTGGCTCCTTGAAGAGAAAACAAATCAAATCTCAGTTGGCCATTCTGACTATTATCCTCCTCTATCTATGAAAGCATCCTGCGTTTCTCATTTTGCTACAAATTTGAACTTGAACATAAAGATGGACATTCCTTTTGTAATGTACTCTTTGTAAAATAGTTGGTTATTTTTGTGTTTTGTTTGTTTGTTGGGTGTGTGTTTTTTGGGAGTGTGGTTTTGCTTTGTGGTGGTTGGTTTTTTTTGTTGTTGTTTTTTCAACTTTACCATTTTTACATTCCAAATAGAAACTCCAAAGACAAACTCTTTGAAATAGTAAGTCCTGCAGGAGGGGTATAATATTAGCTAGGGCTAAGGTGAAGGGCCTTGATCATCACATGTACTACCAAAGTGTTCTTACCAAGAATATTGCCATCAAGAACACCTGGTAGGCACCTGGCAAGCTCAGAAGCCTATCTTTAGGTCCCAAACTCCATTTAGTCCAAAATCCTTCATTCCCACACTCTCATGATCTGCCCAGATAATGGATCTCAGGGGATATTGTTATATCCACTTCAGAATGCACCTTTCATTCAGAGTGCCCATCATACTACCTAAAAGGATCTAGAACTGGGA